AATAATGGTACATACTTCAAGCTTCAGCATTTAAAAAGCAATCGGTTCCTATTTTTCTCAGTTCATTTTGCCAGATCATATATGTTTTGAGTCCCATGATGCAAAGCCCTGTAGGTTGCTTCATAATTGAATAATGTGTCATGTATTCAGAAGAGTTACTTGGACAATTGCATAGTGAATAATATCCAAGATAACCCTAACATAGGTTTAAAAATAACTAGCTTTCAGGAGGTTATTGTATTCACAAATACAGTGGGTTATACATTTAATTTAGTTTATGCCTTCTATGTTTGCCAACATAATTTATCTGTTGAAGTTTGGGGAATGACATTCTTAACCACATGGGTAAAACAAATCCAATTTTGTATCTACAATGCATTCTACAAGAGAAAAAGGTGATGATTTTGTTTATAAGCCTAGAAGCAAATATTACACTACTTAAAAGATGGTTAGAAAGCATTTGTGTAAGTTACATGGAAAAGTTTTTATTGCCAACATAAGAAAATCTATCATGGAATTCCCATTTCTTCACTAAGTCAAGGACAGAAGGAAATACAGAAACAAAGATCCACAGAGTAGACAGTAAGACCCATAAAAACCTCATTTAGCAAAGAAAAATAATCTCTTCCTCCCTCTTTTTCTTTTAAGAGATGGTTTACTAGGGTTTTGATGACAAAAACAGACATTCTCCAGTAAATCATTTTTGCTTATTTTTCATATTAAGAAAACGTAAAAAAAAGTTAAAACTATGATTAGGTAGATATCAGTGTGCTTGGGCATTATGTTTCTCTTTTTATTAATCTATGGTTTACGTACATTTTATGTTACCTGTTCTGCAAGCTGACTCTTTTGCATTTTGTTTTGCATTCTTTTATACTCATTTAATCAAGAGCTAAAGACAATAAAAGACAGAGCAGTAATTCCCCCACATTTCTTTTTGTGGGTAGAAGTTGACCACAGAGGAGAAATCAGAAAGCCAAGATATTAAACCAACAGTTCTACCAAGTCATCCAAAGTTCAGTCATTTATTTTTAAATGACTTTCATCCTGAACTAAAACCACAGAAATATTTCTTCAATACTTGGGTTATTTTGAAGAGTTCAGAATAGGTGCAGGTTTGTTTGCAGCTGAAACTACCCTCACAATGTCCCAAAACCACAGAAACTGCTCTTGTGAAAAAGGATTACAGTAGTCCATGGAAGGTAGAGGAAGCAATAAGGTGCTGCTGCATTAACTCTTGTTAATGTAGAACACCTGCTATTGCTGCAGCACAACCTACTGGTTTCATGATAATGTTTCTTCCAGTTTGATTTTCACAAATTTGCAATCAAAATATTTATTTTAAGCTTATGAAGATAAACTTTAAATATTTATAATTAAATTAACACGTTGGAAATAAAAGAACTAAGGACAGTCTTCTGCTTACCAGAGAAAAACAAAGCATGATAGAGTTGGCTAATGCAGGAAAAAAATGACCAACTTCCTTACTTGATAGGACTCTACTCTGAGGAAAAGCTGATTATATCTGAATTTAGAAGAGCTCTTTTGGAGCTAAATGTGAAGGATGTGAACTGGTTGTTGTGGTAACAGACTTGAGTGTTACAAACTTAGCAGACTACTTATGCCTTTCTCAAAGACAAAGCTTTGAAAGCTCATGACACTTGTGACTTCTGTTAAACAAAACAACTGCATTAGTAGAATCTCTTTTCACCTTCTCCTATGGTGGGATGAGTGCCTTGAATATGCATCAACAGATCATTATTCCCTGATTTATTTTTTAAACCAATATGGCAGTAAGCTCCCACCCCCCTCCCTTTCTACCCTCTTCCATCTCTTCTGATCCCATCATAAAAGTTACCACATACTGTTTTATTTAATGGTTTGACTGATTCCAGGAATCAAAACTGTTTGCTCAGAACTGAGACAAGATCAAGCATATTTTCTCCTGCAGTCTAAGTTGTAAAGGATGTTTAAGACAGCCAAATGGAAGATCAGGCATATAAATTAGGTGATCTTTGGCCTATTTCAGGAAACAGTGACTCAATCCATCATAGAGAAACTCTCCAGACTATTTACTGGGATGCTCATCTCCTAATAAAATTGTCAGTGTGCTTTTAATTGTGTTAGGCTCAGTTAAGAGGAAGTTCCAGGTTGGTTCATGTTAGAAGCTGAAGTCTTCTCTGCATTTAGCAACAGTGAACCAAGAAAAATATGTACTTACATCTGTCTCTCAAGGGAGGAGATAAAATGCTTTAGTTACTATTACTGCTGATTATCCCCCCCCCCCCCCCCCAGGCCTTTTGCTTACAGTTAATGCAGCTGATATGCTTATTACCTAAGGTGACTTCCCTCCATCTCCCTGCTGCAGAGTGGTGCCAGCTCTCCCAAAGTGTACAAAGACAGTAGGTGCCTCCTTCTGATAGAGACCCCTCAATTCAAGCTCCCAGGAAGCCAGGCCAGCCTTCCTCCACTAGAGTAGGTCACACCAGCCAGGTGATTCTGGTGCTCGAGTCAGAGGTGCAGGACAGGCATCCCTGTTACTTGGCAGACAGGGCTGCATCACTCACGAGGAGGAGATGAACTCTAGGGAACCACACTAGAAGATATAATCTGCTCTTACAGCCTGGCACAACCTCTGGCACCCACCCTTTGGCTCCATCACACACTACTTTTCTGTAGGACCTGAGGGTGCTGATTGACAACTGGCCAAACATGAGCCAGCAACATGCCCAGGTAGCCAAGAAGGCCAACAGCATTCTGGCCTGCAGCAGAAATAGTGTGGGCAGGAGGCAGGAAGGGGTTGTCCATCCTTACATGGCACTGGTGAGACCACACCTTGAATGCTGTGTTCAGTTTTAGTCCCTTTGCTACATGGACATTGAGTTGCTTGAGTGTGTGCAGAGCAGAGCAATGAAGCTGGTGAAGGGACTACAAAACAAGGCTTATGAGGAACACAAGCAGTGAGCTTGCATTAAGGAAGGTTTCAGTGTCTTTTCTGAGCTGAAAAGTGATAGTATGAGAGGTAACAGTCAAGCTGCACCAAGGGAGGTTTAGATTCAACTTTAGGAAGAATTTCTTCAGAGACAAGGGTCAAGCATTGGAATGGGCTGCCCAGGGAAGTGATGGAGGTGTTTCAGATGTGTGGGTTCCATCCCTTAGGTGTGGATGAGGCACTAAGGGACATGGTTTAGTGACAGGACTCAGTAGGTCAGGCTGATTGTTGAACTCTGTGATCTTGAAGGCCTTTTCTGACCTAAACAATTTTATGATTCTACTCAAGAGACAGATGCCATGAGACTGCTGAAGTATTGAGTTACGTATCAGACATGCTCCCCAGTGACAAGCAAAAGTATTACTTCATCTCCAGAACACAGAAAACCTTTCTGACTGTATGGACAAATGTTTAAATCCTAGTCCCCTCTCCCCAAATAAGCTAGAGTAAGATTTAACTTTTTCAGTATGAAAAACTGCAGGGGGAAAAAAGGCAAGCATAGATATTGCCTGCAAATCCCTGACATGCTGGGAGCAGCTCTCGGGACTGTGAGCAGCTCATACTGTGCCGCCCAAATAAACTGAGTCATCCTCTCTAGACACTGTTACCTAATTCAGCTGCATGATTTGACCTTGGAGTTCATAAAAGTACATTGGAAAAAAGAAAAATCTCAGAGAGCCCATAAACCTAGCAGAAGATTTGAGACATTTCAAGAGAAATTGCTTTTTTATTTTTCCCCTCCTCTGGAGAAGGAGGATCAGCATGTAGGTGTCTTCCATTTGCACAGAGATCCATCACACTAATTTTTCACTTTTCTTATGAATGTACATGTGCAGGTATATGATAGTGCTGTTCACTGGAAAAGCATATATGTCCTAAGTATGCTGTCTGCCCGCAGCACTAAACTGACCCTCAGTAGATGCGCTAAAGAGAGAGCTAGCAGGTCTGAGCACATGATGTGCAACAACAGATATAAGATTCAAAGCATTCACTTGCAATCTAAAAGTGTCCCCATTAGCTTGAAAGATTTATCCCTTAATTCAATTTACAGAACTGTTAGCTCTCTGCATAACTTCTAGAGGCTTTATATATATATATTTGTATCAGCTGAAATGCATAGCCATCCAATTAGGCAAGTGCATGTACCAACTCACCATGAACCTCAACATCACTTATTTTATTCTCTACTTTTAATTCTACTCCTCCTACCTTTAGGTCAAAAGGCAACACAGCTCAGCTGAAAAGGAACCTGTAACATCTCTGGAGCCTTAACATGTTGGGACTCCATTCTACCCTTACAGAATTTACATTCTGTCCCATTAGACACAGTTGTAACCACATAGCCCCAAAACATTATGTTATCTAACTCAGTTTCAAATTTATGTAAAACAAACAGCTAGACAGTTTTCTGTATTAGGATGAACAGAGGACAGAACAATGTTATATAGCATCCAGTATACATATAGCCTTTTGCTTTTAATCTTCACTGTCTAGACTTTTATGTTTTCAGAAAGGCATTTGCAGAACTTCAGGGCTAGGAGGACTTTGTACTAACTAGTTAACAGTTCATAGGCAGTTTAAGTGAGAGCACATCCCACCTGGTTTGGAGTGGCTTTTTGGTAAACAAACCTTTCATGCACGAATGTAACATTATAAGGGGTATCTAGAATCCTATGAAAACCTACTCAAAACCTATTAAGCAATTTATCTGTTGATGTGCTTCATAAAAGGTTCCCAACTTTAAGGCTGTTGCATATATTTACATGCCAATATCCAGCATCACATTTGTATCTGTATATTTTTCTTCTGCGACAGCATATTTCTGTCCATTCCTCTTTCAAAAGCTGTATATCAACCTCCAAAGCATTATGATAGTGCACAGATGCATCACAAGTTAAGCAGAATCAGAAAATTTAAGTCATGGATACACCATTATGCATTTCCTGCAAGTCCAAGGAAATCAGGTCATAATGAAAAACACAAAATTAATTTTGATGAGAATTATTACCTTCTAAAGGACAAAATCCCAGTAGTAAACCAAACACTATCCTGATATGTAGCTGCTGTGCTGAGGAAAGCCACAATGGCCCTTTTATCCAGGTAATACAACCATTAGATCCCACCACCAAACCTTCAGAGTTAAGAGGGTAAGAACACCACTAGCTTTTATAATGTTCTCCCATGCATCTGCATTTTATTAGAGTTCAGAGGATGATCAGGTGTGATCTATCAAGTAGACTGTTTACACTAAAATCCCATTAAACTACTTCAGGTGTTGCTATGGGGCACGTCCATCACTAGGAGTGTTCTCTATGAGTTTTTACAGAGTTCCCTATTGATTTGAATTTTATTAATCTCTGCATACCCATAGGGAGAATATTTTGATTTCTTAAAGTCTTACAAATTCAAACACTTAATCCAACACTCAATAGAGCTCATGGCTTACATTAAGACAAAAACTCAAGACAGGATACCTGTGAGGATTATTGATGAGAACCTTCTGGAAGAAGGTTGGGTTTGGGGTTGTCCTCTTAAAGGGCAGGTATGATTTAGCCCCCCTTAACCGACATTAAATAGATGGGGGTCTCTAATCTGAACCTGAGCTTCTGCAATGATAGCAATTATGCAGTCTTTCCTGATGATTTGTTCATTATCAATTTTGCTTTGTACTGGTAAGTTTTCACTGATATCAAAGTTACATTTTCCCTCTCTGTTTGAAGCCTTTGGCTTCTTATCATTCTCTGTAGATTAATCATCCATGACTGTAACATGCTTAATGTAAAATTATATCACCCCTTGATCAATTTTTTCTTGACTGGACATGCCCAGCTCTGATTTTTTCCTTGTACATTCTTATTTTCCAGACCATTTACCAATGTTTTACTATCTTTAAATTTTCTTCAATTTGTCTGTCTTTCAAAAAATGTGGCACCCATAATCAAGTGAGGAACTCCATGAGGGCAATTCGTTCTCACTTGTAAAAGTGACAGTGTGGCACAACATCACTCTTGCTTTTCATTTAATGCTGACACGTCATTTGCATGTTGGTTTTGATCCATCACCATCCTTATTCCTCAAACATCTTTCTACTGTACATCTGATGTCTGATCAAAACTCAAAGGGTATCAAATGTGCACTGTACGTAGAGCTGTCAGAGCAACAGGTTGTCAGGATTTGCTTCTAGAGAGAGCACACTATCTGTCTTACAACTGATGAACTGAAAGGGTGATGGGAAAAAATAAGATAGTTCACCGAGAACCAGGAAGATGTGGGAAATCTGCCACTTGTGAGATTTAGGAAGGAAGTAGGAAAGAAAACTGAAGATGGAAAAGAAGGGCCAAATTAAAAGAGCAAAATTTAAAGAAAATTAAACCAGGAGAAAATTCAAATTTTATTTGAGAGATAAAAGATGAAGTGTATGGGCTTATTAGACTGAATCGATCACCTCTTCCCCAGAATTTCCATCAAAGTTGATAACATCACAGTTCATTAATGCTATATTTATATATATAAGTATGTATGATAGTTCCTCTGGTGTTCACAGCACATGTGCTTGTAAAATAAACCTCAGTCATGGTATAGCAGATATTCATGTTTATTTTCTCCCAATTTCTGTAAGTCCTCATATGATGTTTATTAAATCCCAGTCTTGTATGCTCAACAAGCCTCTGAGTGTTCTAACCAAGAAAATGAAGGTTGTAAAGAATAAACCAAGATGCCTGTTATATTCCCAGAGTCTCCATGGTCTTCAAAGTACGTTTTCAGTAACACTGAGCAAAATTTATGGCTGCAACAAAGTAAATAAGTCTTGATAATACACAATGGAGGGCAATCCAGCCCCACCAGAATATTAGGAGAATAAGGCAATGTTTTCTTTGTTAGCGAACTTAGCAACTTAGCAGATGTAAGCAACTTTAATGCCAAATTTGACACTTGGGTCAAGGGAAGAAGAGCAACCATTTTGGACTTCGATTTTTCAAAATGAAAATGCAGTTGAACATTTTTTTTACTTACAATGGTTATTCCATATCTCAAGTCACTTAATAATTAGCTATGTTTAAGACCAAAGCATGTTAAGCTCCACTTTGATTTGTGTTGTTTCTGAATTCAGTCCTTGTTCTGTCCTCCAACTTTGTGTTTCAGCAAGATGCTTCTGAAATTCAGATGCTGTCCACTTTGTGTTTTTTGTTTTGTTTTGTTTTTTTTTTTTTTAAAAAAAAATTCCACTTCAATATTAGACAGGGATGCATGCCTTCTGCTGTTTCAGGACATTTAGTATCTCATTTTGATCAGGTCCTGGGGCAGCTCAAAATTTTGTGCACAAATGTTAATGTTCAAATAATTTGCTGCGTAAAGTTCTTGCATTTTCTCTCAAAAGTTATCTTAACATGCTTAAGCAACTACAGTCATGTTTGGCTGTAACAGAGGATCAAACATGACAGATTTGCAGTCAGAGTTTTTCTTCTGTCAAAACTCTCTACACAATACACATGGAAGCAAGCTCTGTTCTCTACTGAGTGTTAGAAGCTTCTAGCTCCCAGGTCCCACTGTGTTTCCAAGTTTCATGACTTCCCTCAAAGCCAAAACACCAGCAATCTGGTGACTACCAGTAACCAGTTTCTGTAGTCTTGGCTAAGATTAATAACAGTCACTATTAATTTGTGTAGAGTTAAGTGTTATTCCTCAGGTGATGCTGAACAAAAAGAGCACAGAGGTAATACTTTATTATTACTGTTATTTGCATTTTCTAGGCTGCATCATGGATGTGAGAGCATCTGGGAGCTCTGCTTGCTGCTCAGGTGTGAGGATGTGGAGAATAACACCTCAGGCCTTTCAGCCGCTCACCACATAAATTTAGCTGATAGCACTTCCTGAGAGTAAAGTCACAGGAACAGAGTACTGGCGTGTGAAATTCCATCACCTCATGTGGTGTGGAGTTATTTGGGTTGGCAAGAAAAGAATTAGTAAAAGGAGCTCCTTTTTGTATTCAAGCTTATTGGAAATATTCTCTCCATAAAATTCATGACAGCCTGAAACACACAGGGGATAGATTTAGACGTATGTTTTTATTTCAGTTTGTTGTTGTGAATCATTTGTCATGACCAGCTAATGTGCTGAAGGGAACTATTGTCTCATATAGTGTTTTACTGTGGCTAAAGGCTTCAGTCTAACTGTCTAACATATCCCTACTGAGCTTCTCTGCCAGCTTTTGGACATAACATCAATGTTTTACTGATATTTACTAGACTTGCTTAGAGACTCGACAGATTTTAAGAGACCACTCTCAGCATCCCATTTCACCTTATCAGTAATCATTCAAACATCACAGCTTGTGCAATTATAATTGAGACAATGGTTTTTGAGTGCTTTTCTTTTCTTTCAGGGACTACCTTTCCCCAGGTAGCTCTGCCTGTGCAGTACTTCAAGACATTAATGTACATCTTGAGCTATCCTGTCTCTCCATAGACAGAGCAATGGAGAGCTGCTAAAGACAGTAGTGTTCAGAAAAGACTGAGACCAAGAAAGAGCTGGAAGCCACAGAGTTTTGTGATAAAGCCACCATACCTGGCCCAAGCAGATTCAGGCCTGTAGTTACTATCAATGCAAATCAGGTTAGCACAAAAATTGTCAGTGGCTTTTTGGAAGAGGGATGGGTTTCCATGACTTTTAAAAAAATCTCAGAAACAGTCTCAGCACGTTGTTGCAGATATGTAAGGTTTTCATGGTCTTGAGAGGAGAATTTAGGAGTTACATAAGAGGAAATATTTGGAATTGGAATATTGTTGGCGAAACAACTCAGCCTCTGATTTGGAAGATTACGAGTCGATTGCACAGATGCTCTTCTCAGAGATAATCTTTTCACTGCCTCCTTTGGCTAAGGATTGGGCCATAAATCAATGCAATGTTGAAACACATGAGAGTAAGTGATGTGGACACTATTGATAAACTGGTCAATGGGGCTCTGATGAAAACTTATTAAAAATCTTTATAACCATTCTTTACATCTTCCCGTTTCAGCTGTATTTTCATGCACAATATACATATTCTTTATAGACTACTGGAACGGCCATAGTAATTTAGATGAAAGTATGGTGTGAGGTCTGTAAGCAGTTGGTAGCGAGGGTGAGTCATTTGCTACACATTCCCCTCCCTACAAGGGTATAAAAATAAATGTTCTGCATTGGAGTATTTGGCATGTACAATTATGCTATTTACTCAGGTCTGCTCCGTCTTGCAGTTGCAACTATTAGTCATTGTTCTCTTGATGGTTTCTTTAGTACATTTACCTTTCTCTTAAAACTGTTTATTTTCAGACTCACAGCTGTGGACCCTCTTTTCCTCTTTCAAATATGCTGGTCAGGGTTTTTAAGAGATCTTTAGGGACCAGGCCCCCAGTATAATAAGTGAGGAGAACTGCATGCTTCACTTTCTTGAGCATCCTTGAAAAATCCCACTCATCACTCGTGTAAGGTCAAGAGTAAAAGGTTAAAACAGATGCACTTTCAGGCCATAATCTTGCAAGTATTTATGTAAACAAGTTGAGTTAGGCAAGTGCAGAAGCATTTGCAGTGTGTGGATTTAAATGGAGATTTTATTTTAAAAAAGACTTTTATATATGCAATGAAATGCCATTTTGAAGGAACATTTTAATACTCTAGCATGTCTGGGTTTCCTAGATATTTAGCAATTGAAAAAGCCAAACTTTTTAGCTCCGGTATAGCTTTGGATTAGCAAGCAGGTCTTGCACACACAATGTATTTTATATACCGTGAACGGTTTCCTCTTTACTAATCCAGCATGCAAGGCTTTCATTTCTCACTGAGGCCCATCTTTTTATTTCTTGCAGATTTTAAAATCTGTTGTGTTGGCACTTTACTTCTTGGAGACCACTGGTGTCATTTTCTCCAAATTGTTAGCGTAAACAGTCTGTAACTTGAGTAAGCCAAATGTGGGTGTATTAATCTTCCTAGTGCCAGCTAAGCAAGCCTGGCAAGGCACAGTTTAATTCTGTTATCAGAAAAGTAGTAAATAATCTTTTTTTTTTTTTTTTTTTTAAAGTGCTGAAATACCCGGATCCTTGTAAGTATATTTGGCTCTTGTAAATTAAAAGATGAATGGAATATGAAGGAA